AAAGGAATGAAGATAAAAGATGAAAAATATAAACTACAAGCATTCGCGGATGACTTGGTTTTCATATTAGAAGAGCAGCTTATGACAAGCTCCAAACTTCTGAAAAAGATAGAAGAATTTGGGGAAGTGGCAGGACTGAAAATAAATAGAGAAAAGACCAAAGTGATAACCGAAAATCTTACAGATAAACAAAGAAATCAGTTGTCAGAAAAAACAGACCTTCAAATAGTTAAGAAAGTTCAATATCTGGGGATAGACTTAAACAGCAAGATGTGCAACAATAAAAGAAGACAACTATGTAAAACTATTAAAACAAATAAAACTAGACCTGGATAAATGGAAAAACCTACAACTCTCGGATTCAGAATACTTTAGAACATGGGATACATTATATCAATGGCTAGAAAAACGAGGTAGAGAGAAAGGAGTTTAACATGTATTAGTAAGCTAAATATTGGAACCCAGACAACAAGTTGCTGATAAAATATTAAGGATTTGTGATTATAAAAAATTAATAAAACATGGTTATAGAAAAAAAATGCCAGTCAGACCTCAGCAGCTGGGCTGCCTGCTGGGCAAACTAAAGGGCCAGAGTCAGGCGCTGTGGGTCAGGGAGAGGTGGGCAGACAGGGCTAGGCAGAGGTAGCAGAGCCCACCACTGAGGGTGGTGGGCTGGGTGGGCCAGCAGCAAGTTCCAGGCTGGTGAGGAATCGGTGGGAAGGAACAGAAGGCGCCAGGCCAGTCTCTCTGGGACTCGTGATGAGTGGTGTGTACTGCCAGGGAGCTGACAAGCAGTTGAAGCTGCCTACACACCTGCCTGCCAATCCTTCCGGTCGTTGAATGTCGCTGCCTCACGCCCCAAATTCGGATTGGGGGTGGGAGGAGGTAAACCTGACATGGAACTGGGCTCGGCTGGCTCCATCTCCCCGATCCAGGCCAGGCCTCTTTGGAGCTTTGGCTTTCTTCCCTGCATGGATTCAGGATTCTTGTTGCATCTTCTGGGCCTCTGCTGACCCCCTGGCTCTCTGGACGGCACCTCTTCTTTTTCTGCCCTCTGCTCCTTTTGAGAACTCTCAGATGCGCTCATGACTGACTGGCAAAAGGAGCCAATGCATCCCGGGCTCTAGTGAGGTGACCGGGCTCTTGCCTCCTCACTGCCCTACTCCAAGATGGGGCATCCTGCCGTAGCCTCAGCCTGGTTCTGCCCTCACAGAAGCAAATCTAGTTCTGGGAGGTGGTTGGACCTAAAGGACCTAAACGAGATGGAACTGCCTGCTGACCACCAAGGACTCTGCCTGGGTGGCCTTGGTGGGCAAGAAACTTGACAAGAGGGGCATCCTCCTGTCGGCGCCTCTCGCTATGCTGGTCCACTGATGAATTAATAGCTAGGATCCTGATGCGTGGAGCAGGTCAAGCCTTTTTCTAGAGATGCCTCTGTGGGACACGGCTGGTGCCTCAGGGTTTGCTTCTTGGATTCTGCCCTGCAGTCCCTAGATCAGGGGTGTCAAACTGCCGGCTCGTGGGCCAGATGCGTCACGCGGAAGCCGTGCCCACCCCAGCTCCAGCAAGGGGAAAAAAGTTGCGATACATCGTGACATATCACATGACGTGGCAAGTTTGACACCCCTGCCCTAGATGTTCCTTTGGCTCCTGTATGGCTTCCGGGGACCTGCTTAGTGGAAAAAGCCAAGGAGCAGCCCCCGAACTTGGAGTCTGTGGCCTCCTCCATTTGGAGAGCACACGGTGACCATGGGCATATGGGTCCCCATAATTTGCTGTATTCCAACATTGGAGGAAGCTTCACTGCAGGAAGCGCACCGCGAGCGTGTCATTGTGCACTCTGCCTAGAACCAGGAGCCCAGAAAGGAGGCAGTAGCTCCCTAAGAAATGGGCTTTGGAGTCCTAGCTTCCACCAGGACTTGGAAGTCAGTTGGCTGAGTGGGGCCTTTTAAGCAGCCGAGGGTCATGTGGACATGATGACTGAAGCACAGAGTTTCAGGCAAGGCTTCATATCTGCATGCAAGTTATTAGAATAGGTATTGTGAGAATGCAAAATATACCGCGGTAGAGTTGGAAGAGACTCCAGGTATAATATGTTCTTCCACCCCCTGCGGTGTAGGAAAAGCAGTTAAAAGATGATTGTTTAGCCTCTTCTGACCTCCAGAGATGGAGACCTCACAACTCCCATAAATAGATTATTCCACGGTTGCACAGATCTTGTTGCCTTGTGTTTAAATGAAATTCAAGCACGTGCAACTGATATTTCTTGTCCTGGTTCTATAGCAGCACAAAATAGTTCTTCATCATTGTCCTTTGAGCAACCTTCTTTCAGAGGAAATAGCTGGGGCAGGTGCCAAACTGTGAGCTCTCAGATTGTGCATGATTGCACCTGAATAGGAAGTCTGCTTCGGCCTTTGGGGAAAATGTCTGACAAACTTTCTTCCATGCAGAGGCTGAGCTGCCTTCTGTTCCCCCAGAGCGTCTTTGAAACTTGCATTGTGTGGTCATTTTTGCACGCAGCTGAAGATAGTTACCAAGGCTTCAGCATCAGGTTTATGCCTTTTGGGAAGAGTCTGGAGGGGGGTCAGAGTCTTTAGTTTTTTTTGGGGGGGGGGCAGCTGGCTCCAAGGGCCTGGCATGGAAGTTCCCACTCCAAGGCAGGGGAACTTGCGTGCCACTTGGACAGCCCCATTGCCGCCCAGGAGGCAGACTGGGTGTGCTCTCCTGCAGCTGCTGGGTGGCGGTGGTGGTGGTGCATGGCCAAAAGGGCCCTCCTGGAGAACGCCTCTCCTTGGCCCAGTCTCTGCAGGCTCCTGGGGGGAGTAGAGGCTTCAGCTGCAGGAAGTGAGGGTCTGTGTGTGCCCTCTCTGCCTCCTCGGGTCTGGGCACCTGAGCCTGGGCTGCTGGCTTGCCTGGCCGGGTAGGAGAGCTTGGGACCCTGCAGGGACTTGAGTCAGCAGCCGGCTGGCAGGAGGCTCCCGAGGGCTCCCTTACCTGAGCAAAAGGCAGGACAGGCTGCCAGGCACTCCTGGCTCCTAACCGGCCACCTGGTTGGGGAAGGGCAGCTGGGGCTCCTGGCTGCTCTTACCGGAGCTCGGACAGGCCAGGCCTCTGCACAGCCTGTGATGAGGGAGCCAGGCACCCAGCTTTGCCCAGCATGGGTAGCAGCAATTGTGTCTGGGCATCTCTGGACCTCAGCAGCAGAGCCGTGTGTGTGTGTGTGTGTGTGTGTGTGTGTGTGTGTGTGCGTGAGCACGCATTGCCCTTCCCCAGCCTGCAGCTCCTCTGAAAGCCAGAGCTCTCTCTAAAGAGCTTCTGCTCGGTCTGAAATGTTTGTCTAGTGCTGGACGCGGGTCGAAAGTCCAGCCTGTTTGCATGCCAGTCAAGGGCGCCCAATGTTTCTGCCTGTGGCAGAGCCGGGCTCCTGAGGCATGTCGGAGAGGCTCAAGCAGGGCCGGGCACTGGTGCTGGTGGGGGTGGGCTGTGTGAGCGAGAGCCGGCTGGGGCCCCGTGGGAGGACGGCCTTCCACTGCAGCATTTCAAGCACAGCCTCTGGAGCTCGAGTGTCCGGGAGAAATTTATTTGAGGGGACGCAGAATGTTGAGGTGGCTGCCAACCTTTCCTGAGGCTGGGGCAGCTTGACATTTCCCCGTAGGCTGTTGTGAGAGTGACATTTGGGCACAGGATCCCCCTGCTCTGCAAGCTTCTGCAGCCTGATGCAAAGGCAGGGCAGCTCCTGCTGGCCCCGGGGCCCCCTTCAAGCCAGCAGAGGTGCCAGGGTGCTTCTTGCAGTGCAGGGCTGAACCTCAAGAGAAGGGTGCTGGCACTTCCATTTTGTTTTTCAGAGGGAGGGTTCCATTTCGTTCTCTGTTGCTCAGGCCTGCCCTGTCTTCCTCCCCATGAAGTCTGCCTCCTCCATCGCTTGAGATGTGGGGGCAGCAGAGCTGAAGTGCTCCCTGCTGGGTCCCCACTGCAGGCAGCCTGAAGAATGGCTGCGAACACAGACACCCTCCCCCGCCCTGGGAGAGCGCTTGCCCCCTTCCCTTCTGCCCTGTCTGGGGCCCTGCTGTGTCCTGTGGGGCACCCAGGTCTGGGCTCGCTCTGCACCTGGACAGCCTGCATGGAAATGGGGTTCTAGGTGGGGGGGCTGTGTTGGCTTTGAGCCTTACGGAGGGCAGGATCCAGGCTGGGGAGGGGGTGAGGGAAGCATTGACTATTGGCTGCCCACTTCCCAAAGTTACCAGTGTTCCCCCATGGCCCACTGAGGTTTTGTGGTTGGGGTCTCATCTTGGCTAGGCTGCGAGGGCTGTTGCTAGTATAGCAGTTATGTTGTTGTGGGACATTCCAGGTTTGTGTTTAAAATAGGTGAGTGTACAGATCTTTTAAATAAATGAGTAGATTTAGGGGGATTGGGGGCACCGTAATCTCCAGGCAAAGTCACCCCCCCATTTGCTTAGCAGGGTGAGGATTGCCCCCTAAGCTGCATGACGATGGACTCCCAATCCTGGGCCTCCCCCTCCAGCCTTTCCACTACATGATGGCTCCCCGAATCCGCCAGTGGGGAGGGTGGTTGGTGTGCATTGAGGGGAGCTACTTGATCCACAATCAGTTCTTGTTGATGTCCACAAATCTTGGGGAGCTTGGGCTTCCTCATTACCCAGCATAGAGCATGTTACAAATACCGTATTTCGGCTTCTGCAGAAGAGCAGATTCACAGCTCTGTTCCCCAGCAGCAAAGTGGGTCTGCCCCACGTTCTGCTCCTGAACTCCAAGACTAATGCTGCTTCTCCTTCTTCTCTTTCAGAATGATTCATATTGCTGGAATAACGGAAGCCCAACTGCTGTCGTCATTTTCTAGCGCTGGGCCCTGAGGAAGGGGCAGGGGGCAACGCTGCCCTGGGCCGCCTCAGCTTCTTCCAGGCCGCCCAACGCTGGCTGTGGTGTACCCGTGTCCCGATGGAGATGAAGAGCGCCTTCCTGCAGGGAGCCCAAGCCAGACTATGACAGCGTATCGGCCTGTGCATGAGAGCTGCGACGTGGGGGGCCTGGACCCCACAGGGGGCGGTTACTCTTCTCCAGGATCCTGGGCCCAGAATGGCTGCACCCCACATGCGGATGATGCATCTCCTTTGCGGCCAGCCACCACCACGCCTGCCATGCCAAAAATGGGGGTGCGGGCCCGGATTGCCGACTGGCCCCCCAAAAGAGAAGGGCTGAAGGATCCAGCCATCCCCAGTGCTGCCAAGGCCCCAGAGGCCCCGTGCCCCATGCAGTGGGAGCTTCAGAACGGGCAGCCGCCCAGGGAGGCAGCCTTCCCCTCAGGGCCGAGGGCTTCCCGGCGCCTGGCTCGGAGGAGGTCCAAGGACACCGAGTTCCAGGACGGGTGGCCGTGCTCTCCTGGTAGGGCATTCCTGGCGCTGAGGAACAGGAGTAGCAGCGAGGTCACCCTGAGCGAGTGCGACCTGGAAACCGCGATGGAGCCCCGGGGAAACCGACTGGCTGGTGGCCTGCCCCTCTTCCGCGAGTATGGCAGCACATCCTCCATTGATGTGCAGGGCCTCTCTGAGCAGAGCTTCTATGAGATGCTTAAGGAGTTCCAGAGTGGGAAGTTGGTGGCTGGGCAGCGGCAGCGGCTGGTGGATTCCTTCCACACCGCCAGGAGCGCCAAGGCAGAGGCCCGAGCAGAACCAGGGCTGCCCCTTCACCCCAAGGAGAAGCCCCGCAAGAAGGGCCTCCGAGGAGAGGGGAGCGGGGGGGACTCCATCTTCCGGAAGCTGCGGAGTGGCCGGGCGGAAGGCGAATGCAGCAGGGCCCCAGGGGAGGTGGAGGAGGTAGGCCGGGGCTGGCTGTGCCCAAAGAGCCTGGCCCACTACGACGTCCAGAGCCTGCTCTTTGACCTGAACGAGGTGGTGGTGGCCAGGCGGGTCTGTGTGGCACAGCGGAAGAACACCACCACTGGGGCTTCGGCTGCCTCCGCTGGCTCAGCTGCTGCCACCTGTGGACTGGCCAACCTGGACCCGCCCAGCACCTTCTTCAGCCCTGAGGACCTGAACTCCAAGGAGAATCTGGAGCACGACCCAGGGGACAACAACAGCAACAGTCTGCTACTCAGCTGTCCTCACTTCCGCAATGAGATTGGGGGCGAGGGAGAGCGCAACATCAGTTTTTCACCTGCCTCTGTAGGTAGCTGTGGGGAAGGGGCCTTTGCGGAGATGGCCCCTGCCCCTTACTGCACAAATGCCAGCATCTCTGTGCTGGAGACGCCCCAAGAGCTGCAGTGCAGCCTCACCCGGTTGAAGCACTACAGCATCGAGCACGTGGACCTGGGCGCCCGGTACTACCGGGACTACTTCTCTGGCAAAGGTTGGCACTTTTTGGCTTTGTCATTTGGGGTGCTGGAGGGTAAGAGGACCCTGAGAAAGTGGGCAGTTGAGGAGGATGAGGCTTGATCCTAGTGTATGCCAACATGACAGCAACCCTGAATTCCTGAGTGGTGGGTTCATATCCTCCTCCTTCCCATCCCTACGCAGCCGCACAGGTTTCCCTGGTGCATCTCTTCCCCCCCCCCCAGCCCCTCATTACCCCTCATATCCTTTCTGCCTTGGGACTGATCCTTGGTTCAGCTGGGCAGCCAAGCCTTGCTGAAGGAGCTTTTGAGTGGGTGGGCAATTCTGCAGATTGGTAAATAATGGCTGGAACTATACGGCCGTTTAGGGCCTGATGCACAGGATGAATGGCTAAGGTGTTTTCCCCTCTTCCCTCTTCCTCTCTCCCCCCATCAGAACATTTTAACTACTTTGGGGTGGATGAGAAGCTGGGCCCCGTGGCTGTCAGCATCAGGCGTGAGAAGCTGGAGGACCATCGGGATTTCGGGCCTCAGTACCAGTACAGGATTATCTTTCGCACCAGCGAGGCAAGTTGCTATTGCTCTGCGCCACTGAAGGTCCTGCGGGCACGCTGGGGTGGGTGAGGCAGTGGGCTTTGATCCCCATTAATTCCCAAACTGGCTGGGAGATACACCCCCCTCCTATTGCGGAGAAGCTTAAGGGGCAGGAGAATTGTCTTTGTTCTCCTTGGCTGCTATCCTACCAGGACATCAGGAGGATAGTCGGTCACTGGGGATGCAGGCTTAGAGGCTGCCTTAATCCTTCCTGCCTGAGAGTTCGAATCCCACAATGGAAAGGGGTCCTCAGGCCAGGGTGTCAAGTCTCTCTTCCAGACTGAAGCCTCCCCAGCTTGACCATTTCTAGGAAAGGGGAGGCCGGCAACTGTGTGGGCCCTGGCAGGCAGCTCATAATCTTCATCCTTTTCCTGCAATGTTCAGCTGGAATTCTGGAGTAGCTCTGTCCTCTCTCATGCTTCCTTCTGGAATGGTGGTGGCCCTCTTTCAGGCCCCTTCTTGGATTTTTCAAGGCTGAGGTCTACCTTCTTCGTAGCAGGCAGTTTCTGTCTTCCTGACCATCCTTGCTATCCTTCTCATCCCTATGGACCCTCCTCAAAGGGTGGGGTCTAGACAGCAGGTGGGGTCTGACCGATTTATAATATATAGGTGATCCACTTGTTCAGCGACGGTTTGAAGATGCAATGGCCCTGAATGAGGGGGATTTATGCATCTTCGTAATTGTGGCCATTGCAGTGTCCCGCGGTCACGAGATCGTGATTTGGGCACTTGGCAACCTAGTCTCAAATAGAAGATCGCAGCGTCCTGGGGCCCTGCAATTGCCATTGGCAGACTTCATTGCTGCCTTCCGGCAAGCAAAGTCACTGGGGAAGCCTGCAGGAGGTCAGAAAAGGCAATCATGTGAGCACAGGATGCTGCAATCAGATGGGACTCATCTAATGATCGTGACCGGGACTGATCGAAAAGCTGACATAAGTCAGTCCAGTGATGTCATGTATTGCTTAGTGGTGGAGTTTCTAGTCCGAGCTGCCATGAGTAAGCAAGCACAGCCTGTGGTGAATAGAAACTGTCCGACCAGAGCTGGCTATTTGTGAAGCAAATCCATCCGAGCCAGCAGAGGGCGCTACAGCACTGAGAGGGCCTGGCAGTGAAGCTGATAGCGCCAGTTCCTACTTCTGTGCCCAGTGCTTGCTTCTCCGCTGAAAGGGCAAGAAGACCCGCCCGAGCCCCAGGTGGGCCCCGCGAGGTGCTGAACTGCAGCCCTGCAGTTTAAGCTTCCCAAAGGGGATGTTTTCGCCTTGCAAGGACAATCTGAATCACTCGTGCCCCCCCCCCAAAAACCCAAACATCCCATTGACGAAGGGTTGAATGCGCTGGATACCGGCAAATGGTCTGAAGTACTGAAAGGGGCTGCTGTCTCCATGTGGAATCTTGGATTTTTGGGGGGGGGTCCCTTCCAGGGCCAAGGGGCCTTGTCTCCGAGTGGGCTGGCACTCCTCCTCCTGCACATTTCCTGTTGTAAGAAAAAAAAAGTTTTCTAGGCTTTTGCAGGCTGGGACTGAGCCTCAGAGACAAAGTTTGCCCTGGATAGCGTGGAAATCCTCCTTAGGCTCCTTCTAGCTCTCCGATGATTGGGGATTTCCTCTAGAGCAGGGCTCTTTTTCTCCCGTGAAGAGCGCCATTCTGGAAGACTGTGAGGCTTGGTTGACGGCTCTGCTCCCCCTCCCTGAGGCCTCCCCAGCCCATGCTCAGCCCCAGTGCAGAGGATGTTGCCCACTGGCACAAGGGGCTCTTGGGGAAGAGGCTCTTTGGCCAAGTGGGGCCCTCCCATGGGCAGCCCTCCACTCTGCTGTGCCAGAAGAGGGGGAATTTATGTGGCCCCTGCGGTGGGCGGAGCGTCACTCCTGCCTTTCTTTCTGGGCCTTGCAGTTGACCACCCTCCGTGGTGCCATCCTAGAAGACGCAACGCCCACCACCACCAAGCACGGCACTGTCCGTGGCATCCCCCTGAAGGACGTGCTGGAGCATGTGGTCCCTGAGCTGAACACGCACTGCCTGCGCCTGGCCCTGAGTGTCCCCCAAGTCTCTGAGCAGCTGCGGAAGCTGGACGAGCAAGGAGTAAGCACGCCGCAGACAACCTGGAGGGGGTGGAGGGCTTTCCTGCCTGCCCACCCATCTTGTCTGTGGCCCAGGAAGGCCCTGTTCTCTCCCAGACCCTCTTCCCGAGAGTCACTCTTGGGCTTGGCCCCCAGCCAGCTCTGAGGGGGCACTCCCTGCTTTCCCCCCAGCTCTGCCGGAAGCACAAGGTGGGCGTCCTGTACTGCAAGGCCGGCCAGAGCTCGGAGGAGGAGATGTACAACAACGAGGAGGCTGGGCCGGCCTTTGAGGAGTTCCTGGCCCTGCTGGGGGAGAAGGTCTGCCTGAGGGGCTTCGGCAAGTACGCCGCGCAGCTGGATACCAAAAGTAGGTCCATGCCGAGGGTGGTTTGCGGTCTGGCAGGGCAGGACTCACTGCTAGCACTGTGCCTGCCCTCTGAGGGACCCGACTTTCCTGATAGTCCTCCCTGTTGCTTTCCTCACAGCCGACTCCACCGGCACCCACTCCCTCTACACGACCTACCAGGGCTACGAGATCATGTTCCACGTCTCCACGATGCTCCCCTACACCTCCAACAATAGGCAGCAGGTACCAGGCGGGGCAGGTCGGGGCCCAGCCCAGAGGAGAGAGTGGACTGGCTTTGGGGGGGTCACATGGCACATACTGAACTGTGGGGTTGCCACCATTTTGGGGGCTCAACTTAGTGGTCTTGACCCTTTGCTTCTCTTTTGAACAATGACCCCACCCCACTGGGGAGGGATTTCATGAGGGGGTCTGTTTCCTCCTGGTCTCGTGAGTGTCTGGCTGGGTTCCAGGCTCTCTTCCCAGGCTCTCAAGTGCCGCCTTCCCTTCCAGCTGCTGCGGAAGAGGCACATCGGAAACGACATCGTCACCGTCATCTTCCAGGAGCCAGGGGCCTTGCCCTTCACCCCCCAGAATGTCCGCTCTCATTTCCAGCATGTCTTCATCATCGTCTGTGCCCAGAATCCCTGCACGGAGAGTGTCTGCTACAGGTAAGGCCGCGGGAGGGGGGTCTGGGTGGTATTTGGGCTCGGCCAGGTGAGGAGCAGAGCTCCGGGCTTTGGCTGCATCCTGGTGCCAGTGGGGACCCGTCCACTCTCCAGAAGTCTGGCTGAGCAGGCAGCCTCTCTCAGACAAAGGATCAGGGCTGCAGGTGATCCTCGCAACTCCGGCCTCTCGGGCAGCTGATCCTCCAATCTTGAGTCCTCGGGTTGAAGTGGGCCTCGGCTGTCCTGCACCCTGGGACTGACCCACAGGGAACAGCCGAGGAGTAACCTGGCAGCGGCCTGTGTAGTCTCAGCCACAGGCCTGTGTTTTCATTTCCATGTCCCAAGCGTGGCAGTGACCCGCTCCAAGGATGTGCCCCCCTTTGGGCCGGCCATCCCCAGTCAGGCCGCCTTCCACAAGTCGGACGTCTTCCGAGATTTCCTGCTTGCCAAGGTGATCAACGCCGAGAACGCTGCCCACAAGTCAGACAAGTTCCACACCATGGCCACACGCACGCGGCACGAGTACCTGAAGGATTTGGCTGAGAACAGCGTCACCAGCACCCCCATCGACTCCTCGGGGAAGTTCAACCTGATCTCGTTGGCCTCTAAGAAGAGGGAGAAGACGAGGGCGCGTGCTGGGGCTGAGCAGCAGAGTGCAGGGGCCATCGTGTGGCGCGTTCTGGCTCAGGACTACTTGCAGGGAATGGAGATTGAGTGCCTGCTGGGCATCTCCAACGAGTTCGTGGTCCTCCTGGACCTGGCCACCAAGGAAGTGGTCTTCAACTGCTTCTGCGTGGATGTGATTGGCTGGACGCCAGATAGCTGCAACCTCAAAATTTTTTATGGACGTGGGGACCATATTTTTGTCCGGGCCCGAGAGAATAATCCTGAAGATGTTAAAGAGATTGTGCAGAGGCTGAAGGTCAGTAGTGCCCCTGCCCACTGGTTAGTTAGAATGCCCCCGCCACCCTGGGAGGGAAGTGATCTTTCTGACCCCGGGGTTGTGTGCTTTCACCCAGGTCATGACCTCTGGTGCTGAGACAGTGGAGATGACCCTCCGGAGGAATGGGCTGGGGCAGCTGGGTTTCCATGTGAAGTTTGACGGGACGGTGGCTGAAGTGGAGGACTACGGCTTCGCCTGGCAGGCGGGGCTGCGGCAGGGCAGCCGTCTGGTGGAGATCTGCAAGGTGGCCGTGGTTACCCTCAGCCACGACCAGATGGTCGACTGGCTGCGCACCTCGGTCACCGTGAAAGTGGTGGTGATTCCACCACATGAGGATGGTGTTCCACGCAGGTGAGCCTCTGCGTCTCTGGGCAGGATTAAGAAGGAGGCAGGGGCCACACAGGAGGAGGAAGGAGCCAGGGGCTACCGGGACCCCTTTTGGCTCAGCCGGAGACAGGCAAAATCCTCTGCAGCTGATTTGTCTCATGGCAAAATTGAACCTCTGAATAGCCTGGGTCCATCCGGCCCCATAGCCTGTGCAGTGAGTAGGTCCCGGGTAGGGCAGGAGGCCTGTCCTGGGGGTAGGTACCCTGCCAAGCCCCAAGGCTGCCAGCCCCTCTGCCCTGGTCCACCAGCTCCTGGCCTCGGTGGGAGCGGGAGCTCCTCAGAGGGGGGGCTTTTACCCTACTGGGCTGGTTCTCTTGGGCTGCGATGCCCTTCTTGGGTGGCTCTCCCTGTTTGGCCTGGGGCCCACTGAGCGAAGACAGCTGGCTTTTGAGAGGGGGGCACCTTGGGCAGATCCTGTTGGGATGACTGCGGCTTTGGCAGCCGGTGGGGAATGGCAGCAGCGGCTCTTCTGGCAGGTGCGGGAAGCTGCTTCTTGGGGCGAAGCAGAGAAAGGCCGGCCGATGCCCTGTCAGGTCCCAAAAGGAGCTGAGTGGGTCCTGGGGCTCAGGGTGCAGCCTTCCTTTTAAGACACGGTGCCACCGCCTGGGAACCACTGGGCTAAGCGGCCACTAAATGCGAGTGGAGGAAGGCAAGCCCAGAGGCCGAGGATTCCTGTGGGGCTCTCAGGCCTGGGATGCATCCAGGTGTGCGGGAAGGGAAACTGCCGAGGCTCAGCCCTTCCCCGCTTCCTTCTGGACTCTCCAGTTATCATGGTTATGCGCTCTCCTGAACGTCCCCCCTCCCTGCCTGAGAGTCTGCTGGCTTGCTGTCTCCTCCAGAGAAAACGTGCGCAGTTGAGACAGGAGGGGGGAGGAGGAAGAGGGGGTGCCCCCACCCAGCTCCCAGCTTCCTGCCTGATTTTCCAGGTGTGGTTTGCAAAGCAAGTCGAGGCACCTGGTTGCTTCCGGCAGCACCTCCCTCTCCATCGGCTTCAGGGCAGGCAGGACAGGATCCTGGGCTGGGCTGGAGGATGACCACCCGGTGGCTCTTTCGCTGCACAGAGCCGGGGAGGTGGGTGGCAGGGAGCGAGGCCGTGGCCTGGGGGAGGGGCTGGGGGGGGCTGGAAGCTTGAGGTTGCCCGGGTTCCCTTCCTGCCAAGCTGCCCCCAGGCCTCGAGGCGTGTCCCACATCGGCAGCTGCAGAGCTGGCTTCGATGGCTTCGTCTGCCAAGAGCTGCATGCGGTGAGTGGTGAAGGACTCCCCCCAAGAGAGATTGCGTTCCCACCCCCCCAGGACAGGGTGCCTGAGAAACGGGGGCTGCCAGGGCCGCTCACCTTCCTGCAGACTAGGCCTCTTTTGGAGCAGGGGTCCTGCTTGGCCGAGGGTTCGGCTAGGGGCAGGGGGCCAATGATGCCCACCTCTCAGGCACCTGAAGCAGGCAGGAGTGGTCCCAGGACCCTCGTGGGCAAGGGTCCTGGGCAAGCTGCGTCAGTGACTTTTGTGGGTCTTCAGGGGGGCAGCCGTGCCCCTGGTGCAGGTCTTGAAGGTGGGTGGCTGGCAGGACCAGGAAGGCCGACCTCCATGCCTGCAGCTTCTCTTCACAGAGTTGCCCGGCACCCTTCTCTGCACGATCCCTGACACCCTCCTGGGCTGGGCAGGCAGAGACGCCTGGCTTTCCTCTCTCTCTCTCTCTCTCTCTCTCTCTGCAGGGGATGGGCCGAGTCCCTGAAGGTGAGCTTGATGGAGTCCAGGGGAGAACCCGAAAGCCTGCCAGGGGGCTACCGGCCTCCATACCGCAACTCAGCCTGGCAGTGGAGCGGCTCCGCCACCCACGGCTCCTCTCAGCCTTCCAAGTGGGCTGAGCAGCCGGGGCCTGGCCAGTCCCAGTCCCTCACCAGGACCCCAAAGCAGAGTGCCCTTACCCCTTACCGCCAGCCCCAGCCCCTGCATGGCAAAAGGTGAGGAGGAGCGGAGGCCTTGGGGTCAGTTGATGTTCCTGGGCCGCCTGCAGGCTCCTTGCCAGGACGGGTTTTGGGACGTGGAGCCTGTAGCGTGTGCTCTGCTGTGTTGGATGCAGCCTGGCTAGGGACCCCTCAGGAGAGCTGCATGACTCTGGGCATGGGCCCAGCCTTCAGGCTCTCCCTCCTTCTCTAGGCCTGCCAGCTTCCCAGAGACCCCCCGTGTCGCCTCCTCCTCCTCCCAGAGTGGCACAGAGAAGACCCAGCCGTATCGGCAGCCCTCGGGCAGTTTCTCTGTTCCGGGCTCTTCGGGAGGACCCTTCGCCTGGTACAAGCTCTCGCCGGACAAGTACGTGGAGAGAGGGGGAGGCCCAGGCCCAGGTCCTGGCCCTCTCGACCCGCCTGGCTTTTCCCTCCCGCGGATTCTTTTTGGTGCAGGGACTGCCCCACCGGCAGCAAAGACGCAGGGCTTGTTCCTGGCTCCGGGTGGGGCTTACTTTGCTGCCTAGCACTTTGCGTCCCACTCCAGTTCCAGGGCTTGGGGGGGGGCTTCGAAATAGCAGCCAGGGGCCACGCTGTGCCGGACCTTGCCAGCCCACCAGGGTGAGGGGCAAACCAGGAAATGCAAAGAGAGCTGAGCCCCCAACCGTCTCCTTTGGGTGCTGGGGAAGCGCCTTCATCCTTGGCTGTTTGGGTAGCAGCCGCTTCCTGCCTGAGGCGTTTGCTCTGGGGAGTAGCGAGGGGGCTGTGCTGGTGGCAAGCAGGGGGCTGGGAGGGGGAAACGTTGACCCTGCATGATTCTGCCTCAAGAGAGGTTGTGAGAGGGAGGGGGATCTCTCTCTGCACCCTCAGTTGCAGTGAACAGTTGCCCAGGGGCGTTCTGATCCAGATGAAATGCCCGGAATGGCCTGGAATGCAGATGAGGCGGAGCCAAAGGCATTGATTGGCGCAAGGCAGCCTTCCTTGTGCAAACATCCCCTCCCCAGGAATCAATCCGCGTGCTGGGAAGGGCCCTTGTGAGGCCTTCTGGACGCCCAGAGGCTCCAGTCGGTGGCCCATGGCTCTCGAGCTGCAGGGCTCTGTACTGGATGCACCAACCGATGCTCCTTCGGAGAGCCTGGCGTGGCCCTTCAGCCTGGCCTTCCACCCCTTCCGGATGGATGCCCCTCCGTCCCCCACCCATGGAGCCAAATGCAGGAGGAGCTGGCTCCCTTCTGCTCCTGGGCCCTCTCCCTCTTCCCTCCCTCTGTTAAGCCTGGTATTTTTAAAACCTGCTAACAAACGGGCTGGGCGGTGTTTTTCCCACTGTCTCGGCGGCTTTCTCAGCTGCCCTGTTTGGCTTCAGTTCTGTGCACAGATATGTGGTCCCCTTGAGGCCTCCGGGGCCTTTTGAGCCGCCCTGCCCCTCCGAAGCGACCTCAAACGGGGACTCCTCTTCGTCCGGCAGGGGGCTGGCCAGCCAGGAAGGCACCATGGAGAGGCCCAAGCCTGGTGAGCACGGATGGCAGGCACAGAGGGGTTGGGTGGTGGGCCTGGGCTGAGATCTCGGAAGCGACCTCTCTGCTGAAGCTACCAGACTTTGGGGAGCCCAGCCGTGTCCCCCTGGGCACAGAGAGGGCTGCCCTTGCCAGCATGGAGCCAGACAGGTGGCAGGTGCCCGAGGCTCCCCTGGCAGGTTCTGAGAAGGGCAGGTGGCTATTGCCCTCTCCTGCAGGCTGGCACTGGGTGGTGGCGGAGGAAAAATCGGGTGGCAGGGGCACCATGCCTGCTTGGGCGTGGCACAAATCAGGCCTCCAACCAAGGGCTGGGGCTCTGGGGAAGCGGGAGGCCAATTGCCTCCCCCCCTCCTGGCGACTTGCCCCCCCCGACCCCTCTCTTTGCCCTCCCAGAGCTGCTGTGGCACATGCCGGGGCCCTCCGGATTCTCAGCGGCTTCTGGGAACAAGCGGCCAGGCCAGTGGGAGCTGCCTGGCAAGGACTCCCCAGAGCAGCCCCCCAAGGTGAGTGTGGGCTCCTGGAGCTTGTCCGTTGGGTGTCTCCCTCCCCGTCTGGGCGACTGAGCCCACCTCCCCTCTCCGCAGGGCGAGGGGCAGACGTCCAGCAGCAACACGCTCTCCAGCACGGCCTCCAGCAGCGCCCACAGCGATGACCCGGCCGATCCCGCTGACAGTGCGGCTGAGCGCTGGGCCAAGGGCGGCGTCTCCAGCAATGGCGGCATCGATGCGAGCAGTGCCACATCTGTCCGGCGCGACCGAGTGCCCGTGTCCTCGCCTCTCTTTGGCCCCGCCCTCCCTGAAGGCCATGGCAAGAGGGCAGAGGCGGCCTGGCCTGCCGGCCATTTGGGCAGACGGAGCTGGAATTACTGCCCCAGGGCCTTCGGTAGAGGAGTTGGCGGCCCCACCAGGGGGGGCAACAACAGCGCCCCAGAGCCTTTCTGGCAGGCCAGGTAAGGGACCCTGCAGCTGCCCCCCCAACATAACCAGGACCCTGAACACGTGGCGGGTTTGCAGGCCGGTTGGGCACGGGGGGGGGCTCTGCGGCTCCTGCAAGGAAGTGGGCTGCCCGATTTTCCAAAGGGGGGGGCTCCTCCTGGCCAAATAGCGAGGGCATCATTGCTGATGCATTTGCAGCCTCAGGGCCAGAGCTGCCCTCGACAGCAGCCCCAGGCCTGATTTGTCCAGGGTTGGAAGTGGGGCGAAGCTCCTCCTTCCCCACCCCAGAGAGAGGCCTTGTGTCCAGGGCCAAGCGTTGGAGGAGGGGCAGTTGCGCTCCCTCCAGCCGTGGGACGGCCCAGGTGCTGCTGAGGGAGTGGCCCTGCATGGCCTGGGGGCCCAGCCACCCGCAGACTGACTGTTTCTCTTTCAGCCCCGGAGCCCCCAGGGCCACGTACCCCATCCAGGTCTACAAGACCCCCTCCGCAGACAGCTCCCAGGCGGCTCCCGGGTCTCAGGCGAGCTCCTCCCAGCTCTCGGCTTCTGTGCCCAAGTCCTTCTTCTCCAGGCAGAGTGGCCGGAGCACCAGGCCTCTGCCTGCCGGGTGGAAGAAGAGCCCGGAGGCTTCAGCCCGGCCAGCCCCCTTCGCAGAGCCCCAGAAGTGAGTGCCTGCAGAAGGGAGGGGGCAGCAGCGAGCCCTGCGTTGAGTGGCTGCCATGGCCAGCTGTTTTGCCTGGGGGGTGTGAGGGCTTCTGCCCTAGACCGAGCCTGGCTGCTGGGGAGGGGGACTGACCGGCCCTCTTCTGCCCACAGGCAGGTTGACCTGAGCACCAAGAACGTCTTTGGGCAGCCTCGCCTGCGGGCTTCTCTGCGGGACCTTCGCTCCCCACGCAAGGCCTACAAGTCGACCATCGAGGATGACCTGAAGAAGCTGATCATCATGGACTCCACTGGCCTGGAGCAGGACGACGAGCTGGTGCGCCTCCCAAACGCTTCCCCCCCCCGTGAAAGGGGGGCCTGCTGAAGGGGGGCATTTTTAGAACCTGCAGCATAAATGTGTCGGAGGGCTTCGCTCCTGCTTTTCCCCGACAGAGCTCCGGGATCTGAGTGAGCCGGTGGGGAGGGGAGGGGCCGGTCTCTGAATCCCCCCTGAGGCAACTTGGGGGCTCCCCGTGGGGAGGACTTGCCCACTTAGAGTCTTCCCAGGGATCCCGTTCAATTCTTTGGGGATGAGGAGAATTGAGAGCTGCGGACTAGCTGGGACTTTGAAGGGGGTCTCCGCTCTTCCCCGCAGACCCCCCAGAAAACACTCCAGCGGACCCTCTCGGATGAAAGCCTGTGCAGCGGCCGGCGAGACCCCTCCTTTGCCAGCAGCGCCTGCTTCGAGCAGCCCCTCTCCAGCGACATGCTCTTCACCAGCACCCTCCCTGTGCGGAGGCCGGCCAGCAGCGGCCGGGGGTGCTCCTTGGAGAAGGGTGAGTCTGGTGGAGCCCCAGTGCCAGATGCAGGTGGGCAACGGGGGTCCCTGTCTTCCCCGACAATCTTGGAGCGTGGGGGGAGTCAGTCTTTGCCCCAACATCCAGGGCAGGAGGAGGTTGCGTGGGCCGCCTCCGCAGGTCGGCTGATGGGTCTGGGGGAGGCCTGACCTCCTCTCTGTCCGCAGCCACCATCTCGGCCTCTGAGCTCTCCCTGACCGAGGTGCGCGACCAGCCCCTGCGGCGCCTTGACCCGGCCCTGATGCCCCTGCCGGACACAGCTGCAGGCCTGGAATGGTCCAGCTTGGTCAGTGCCGCGAAAGCCTATGAAGGTAACACTTCCTTCCTCTCCTGCCCAGGCAGGTGACGTGGCAGTCCGGGAAAGGGCTTCAGCCCTGGGCCCCACAGCCAGCTGGCTGTCAGGAGCCCCATTTACTTCGGGGCCCCTTCCTGGCTCCCCCTCCGTCCAGCTGGGAGCAGCCTCTTGGGAGGGGGCTGCAGCTGATCTTTGAGGAAGGAAATTGACCGTCTCCTCTGCTGCCCCTGTGTCGCCCCCCCCCCCCGAATGGCAGGGCCCAAGCAGGATCATTGAGGGGGCAGAAGACCCCTGCAAACCCTTCATGCAGAGGGATGGGAAACAAGCGCCCACCAAGAGCTTTGCCCTCCAGCCCAAATGCTCGGCTGCCCCAATTTCAGGAGGGAAGATGATTCAGCACGGAGATGGTGCTGAGCTGGTGCCTCATCAGCAGGAGCTAAATGGGCTGCTTGCTAGCAGTGGCACAGCTTCTGCCCCCAGCCTGCCCGCCCCCCCCCGCCCCCTCCTGCCTTGCCTGCCTGCCTGTCAGGGCAGAACTCCTTCCTCGGCCTAGGCAGACGTCCCGCGCTGGCTCCGCCCTTCAGGGCAAGGGCTTGTTGGGTAAGGGGAGGGGCTGCGTCCCCAAGCAGAGAGACGGAGGGGGGGTCAGGGTGCTTCCTTCTCCTCGTCCTGCCCAGCCAGCCAGCACAAAGGTAGCTGATGGCGGAAGACGGGGGGGGGGGCAAGACCAGCCGCTATGCCAGAGTGGGTGGTGGAGTTCCCAGCAGGGCTTCCCCCCCCCCATGGGCTTCGTGTCAGCTGTGCCTCTTTTCTGTGCAAATTGGGGGCGTTGGCCTGGGTGTACTTTCCCCAGCAGGGCAGGGAGGAGCTGGCAAGGGGCGACGGGGGCAGACTCCCCTGCAGCCGGGCTGAATTCTCTGAGCTCAGGGTTGCGGTCTACGGAGGCACAAGGAAGCAATCAGCGAGAAGGCCTGCCAGGATACTTGTGGGGGGGGGGGCTGCTTAGGGGCTAGGTGGGGCTGCCCTCCAGGGCGTATGAGCTCCTGCCCAGACTGGCATGGCCTTCTGCCCTGGCAGTGGTGCCAGTTTTGAGCAGTCAGAAGCCATGGGGCTTTTGCCTGACAGCCTATAGATTCTCCCTCTCCTTCCCCCCCCCCCCAGTGCAGAGAGCTGTCTCCCTCTTCTCCCTCCATGAGACCATGTTGAGCCCAGATGTGCAACCGGCTGGCAGCCCCAGCCTTGGGCACCTGAGCCTGGAGAGGCAGCCAGCGCCACACACTGCTCCTGTCTTAAGGTGAGCAGGGGACGGGGTGGGGGCAGACATATGTTTTGAGAAGGGTGAGAAAACTTCCTCAAGGAAAGTGAAGTTTTGGGGGGATGCTGGAACCCCCAAGGGTCTGCCTGTCAGTCTGGGTGAGGTTGGAGCCCACCTTGCAGGTGAGGAGGCGAACCCCCTCCCTCCTCCGTGTGGCTTCAACCCCCTCCCCAAGGGCTCGGGCTGCAGGTATGCTGCCTTCCTCCTGGATAGCTGGGTGGGGAGACCCCCCCCTCTCCCAGCAGACCCTCTCCGGGAACCCCGGGCAGGTTTGGTGTCACAGCCTCTCCGGCCTGCCCTTGCAGCCAGCAGCGCCCACCAGACGATCTGACAGGCAAGGTCTCCCAGCTGGAAGCCATGTTGAAGCAGTTGCACAGCGACCTGCAGAAAGTAAGGAGCTGGGGGGGGCTTGGTGGGACCCCCGGAGGGAGGGACGGGGCTGCTGGGCCAAGGTGTGCAGGTAGCCCCCGGACCGGGCTCTGCGTATCCTGGAACTCCCCCCCCTTCTCGGCCCCCGCAGGAGAAGCAGGACAAGGTGGTGCTGCAGGCAGAAGTGGCCACGCTCAGGCAGAACAACCAGCGGCTGCAGGAGGAGTCCCAGCACGCCAACCAGCGGCTCCGCAAGTTCGCCGAGATCTTCTCCAGCGCCGTCGACAAGGAGGAGCTGTGAGCGGTGGGGGGGCAGACAGGTGTGGCACCTGCACAGGGGCTCCCCTAGAGAGCGAACCGCCAGCCCCCCGTCTCCAGCTGGGCTCTGGCCCCGTGGCCCCCCTTGTGCCTCGCCTGGGTTGAGAGGCAGCCCTGCTCTGCCCAGGGATGTGGGTTCCCCCCCTGCCAGCCAGATGCTGGCATCCTTAAGCCCTGCCGGGAGCAGCCCAGGCACGCTTCCCCCGCCCCGGTCAAGGGCCGCCAGAGGGCCAGCTGGTGTCCAACGGGCTGGGCGGCAGAGTGCAGCCAAACCTCTCAGAGCACTTTCTCACAACTAAATTATTTTCTAGGGAATGCAGAGCGCCTCAGGAAGTAAAAAAAAAAAAAGTTTAAATGTCTACATTCTTTATAAAACACTATATTTGTATCAATGGTACTGTTTGTAATTTTTTTCAATTGCATTTCTGTGCATGCAACTGAATTCAGCACAGTTGATTTTTCCCCCAGTTGCAGCAGGGACCCTGCACTGGCACAAAGCCATAGAGGCCCAGGGGAAGGCTCCTGGCTGGGGAACGTGTCCCACCACCCCAGACGCCCCCCCCCGGGCCCTCCTGGTTGCCTGCTCTGCCTTGCCTCCTGGCCCTTGTGCCAGTCCTCTGCTGGGCCGGCCCGGCTGGCAGCAGGGCACACCGAGGGCACTCCACTGTCTCCACTACGCTCCAGCCAAGGGGCCCCTTCCACCCAAAGAGGGTGTTGGGGTTGAGAAAGGGGGGGGGAGTGTCTGTCCTGCTCTGTGACCTGCAGGACCCTTCACCCCCCCCTCTGGGCTGGGGCTTCTGCCAATGGCAGCAGGGAGCAGCTGGCCTGGACCACTTCCCCCCACCCCCCACTCCACATTGCAAAACCAGCGTATGATCTATGCGAAGCACATCCTGGCCCCGGGGGTTGGCCCAGGCCTGCCTCCCCCCCCCACTTCCCTCCGCCAGGGTTTCAGGGAAATAACCAAGGGAGGCAAAAAGGCTTTGGCTGCTGACTGTCACCCAGGCCAGAGACCCTCCAGCTGGCTCCTCGACCACCCCCGAGGGGGCTGCAGGCGACCTCCCTCCCCTTCCACTCTAGCCTTAATTCTGCACATGGCCAGAGGGGCTCCCGTCTCCTCTTGGCTCCTGGTGCTGGGAAGCCATCAAGGGCCCTCCAGGAATCCCCACGTCCGACTCTGGGCGGGCAGGGGGTAAGGGGGAGATAGGTGCCAGCCCCCCCCCCCCGGCTCTCTTCTGGGCTCACCACCCCAGCAACCTTCCTAGGTTTTTTAATTTTATAGTGGGACCTCACTGGAATTTGTAGCCTAAGGATTCCCCCCCCCCATACACTTTCTAAAAAGAATTCCCCGGTGTCTAGCCTGGGATGATGGGCACTGTGCTCTCCTGCAACACCTCATGTCTATCGGTTGTATTATGTGTTCGTTTTTAATTTTATAAGAATCGTTGCAGATCAAATCTGTATTATTTAATTTTGTTCTGTTTTAAAGTTGCTGATGAAGAGAACCATCAGTTTTTGTAAAATAAATTCTCTAATATGCTGGAAATCTCAGTCTTCTTTTCTGGGGGTGGTAAAGCTCCGGATGGGAGGGAGGTCCCGTCCAACCTCAGCCCCCGGGGGGCTCTATCCTGGGGTGGTGCCATTGTCGGGGTGCCTGTGTGACCCTGACTGGGGCCAGGAGGGACTACTGTTCTTCCAATAGCCACCCCGGTCTGGCATTTGCCCCCCCCCCCATCGTCGCAAGTCAGGGCAGAGAGAGGTGGAGGCAGCGATTCTGACCACATTTAATGCACGTAACAATCCAAGCACACAAAAGTTGCAGGCAACGGAACAACACAGCTACAGAAGAGGTTGGCAGGGTGAGGCCCCCACTGGCCCCTGGCTGCTCCCAGGCACTTCTGTCCCTGGAGTAGCCCACCTACCCTATTTCAAGGCTGCCCTTTTAAAACTTCCTTCTCCCCCCACCTTTAAAATCATAAACAGAGCCCCCCCCAGCCTTGCAGCAGCTTAGTGGTTATAACCCCCATTGCGCTTGGCTCTCCCTCCCCCAGCCCAACCCCCGTCCCGCCCGGCCAGTCCCAACTCTGGTCAACGGCCTTGCAAGTTGCTTCCAAAGGCAGGAAGGGGCTCCACAGCCAGGACGCCCCTCCCCTCCGGGAAGCCAGCCTCTGGACTTGCAAGCAAAGGCAAACAATTTCACATGCATCAGTCTGGAGGGAAGGAGCTCCCCCCCCCAACCAGGGCAGAGGAGCTGGTTCTGTTCCCCCCCCCACGTATGGCTTTGGGTGGACTGACCCCTCTGGGGTGACCCAGGTGGGGGCCAGGAGGTGGCAGCTGTCAGTCCCCACTGTAGGAGCCCCAGTAAAATGTTGGGTGCCCAACCTCGTTGCTCCTCTTAACCGTGGGTGGAGGTCCTGCATTGCTCCTGGGCACGGCCTGTAGTACAATTCCAGCCCCCCGGGGGGGGAGCTTGAGGCTGGCGGTGGGGGGGAGAGGCTGCAGCCTAGGTCAGGGTGATGTAGGCAGAGGCTTTTTCTTTCAGCTGCCGCAGGCACAGATGGCAGCTCCAGCTCCCTGCAAGCGGAAGCAGCCGGGGGTCACAGCCTGGCCTTCTCCACAAAGGGAGCCACCCCACTGCCCTGCCCTGCCCTGCCCCTGCCTGGCTGGCTGGCTGTCCCTTACCTTCAGGGGGCTCGGCCATCGGTGGGCTCAGGCAGTACATGTGGTAGCCGCGGTCACAGTCATCGCAGAAAAGCAGCTGGTCCTGGGGGGGGGAGGAAGGGGCCACCACTGAGAGGCGCATCGGGGACCTTGCTCCAAAGGGCAGGGGAAGCAGCTCCCCCCCGCCATGGCTACCATGACTGAGCCTGCCGCCAGCCTAGGAAAGAGCCACAGAAAGGGCCACGCTTTCTGCAGGCCACGGCAGGCAGCTCCTGGTAACCCTGCAGTGGGAGCGCTGCTCTTGTTGTCCAGGTGGCCCTTCCAAACCCAGCAGCAGCAGCAGGTGGCTTACGTCGTTTTCGGAAGTGCCACAGAGGCTGCAGCTTTTGCACTCGATGCACTGCCAGCGGTAGGTCCGCACAGCGGCCGTCATGTTCACTGTGAACTGCAGGCACGACGGGTGCCCTGGGGGGAAAGAACCAGCAGTCCCTGTGGTGGGCAGAATGGCCTCCAAGGGCCAGCAGCCCAGCAGGGAAGCTGAAGGACTTCGGGGAAGGAGTGGGGCAGAGTAGTGCAGGGACCCCTGGCCTGACAGAGAGGGCACGCAAGACCCAAAGCTCCACCGCCCCCCTACTGTCAACTACAACCCAGCCCTGGGGCTTTTTCCACACCTCACCAGGCGAGGACCTTAAGGCACCCTTCAGGTGGTGCCTCTGAGCCCCAGGTGAGTCCTGCCACTGGGCAAAAAAGACTGCCTGCTGGCAGAGCATCCTATAAAAGTGTTGGGCATACTCACCATGCCAAGCCACAAAATTGCCAGGCCTAGCAGGGTTTTAGCAATCCTCATTCGTTGTGCTGTCTGGAGCCACCGAATTCCCAACTACCACCCTGTTCCCTTCCTCCAAAAAGGGGGCGCAAAGTTTTGGGCTCATGGGTCCCGGGGGGGGGCAAACACCGTAGCTGCATCAAGCCCGCAGGTGCCATTTGGCCAGAGGCTGAGGCGGCTCACCTGAGCGTCCACAATCGGCACAGGAGATTAAGTCCTCCGGGCAGCCAGTCTTCCTGGAGCCGCCTAGACAGAAATCACAATAACCATTTGGTATGACTGTCCCATCCGGAGCTTTCTTAGCTGCAAAACAGCAAGGAGAGGTCGAAATCAGGGGTGGGCCCACACGCCCCTCTGTCTTCCAATCAATCCCCCCCCCCGCACCGCGGAGGCGGTGGGGTTGCCACATCCAGTCGGCCACTCGCTCGCTCGCTCGCTCGCAAACTGCCCTCCCGAGGCGGCAAGACCCGCTCTTCCCGCTACGCCTCCTGCGCCCCTCTGCCTGGCGCGGGGGCGTAGCAAGCTGCTGGCCGTGCACGACAGAGCCCCCAAGGGAGAAGACACACACACACACCCCACACACACACACACGCGCGCGCCCAGCTCAAGCGCTCCTCGGGCAGCCTGCAGGGTGGGCACATTGCAAAAGGTGGCAAGTCGCAATCGCGCAGCTGCCTGATGGAAGCCGCCTGCCTCGCTGAGAAGGTGCTGCCCTTCCCTGCTGCTTCCAAAGCTCTTCCCTCTTCCGCTCTCTGCCTTTCCTGGTCGCTTTTCGGGGGATCCCGGAAGAGTTGGGAGGAGATCCCGAACGGAGACTGTGCCCGCAGGACAGACAAGGGGAAGGGGGCGCTTCCTCTCACCCTCCCCACAACTCTGGAGAAGCCCCCGAGGGACGTGGGAGGAGGGGCCGCACGGGGGTCCCAGACAGACCCCGCGTTCCCAGGCTCCAGCCTCTCAGCACTGCTGTGGGGGTTTACCTGTGTGCCTGCGCTGGTTCTCTGGGACCCAGTTCAGTTCTTTGTAAAACTCTAGAGAAAGCCAGAAACGGCAAGAAGAAAAAGAAAAAAGGGAAATAAGCACAGAAAAGAAAAAAATAATAAAGGAATATATTTGACTTGACTCGGTTTAGGGGAACCAAGCCTGGGAGGGGCGCCTGCGTTCTCCGGGCCTCTGGCTTGTCTGGACGAGCAGGTGAGCGAGCGGGGAAACGGCCGAGCTGCTTTGGGAAGGAATGGGGGCGCCGTGGGGCGGGGGCCACGAGAGGGGCGGGGAGGCAGCTTTTGGGCGAAAAGCAATCCAGGCGGTGCGAGCGAGTCCGCGACCGGCGCTGGGAGAGAGAAAGCAGGTCTCGGACGAGGCGGGGGGCACCTGCAGGCCCCCGGCCCTTTTCTCCAGGGACGGCGGCTCCAAACAGCCCCTTCCCCCACCTCCCGGTTGCTTTGTGCACACTCTGCTCCGGCGACGGCGCTGGTGTCTCCATAGCAACCACCAAGACC